TCCCGGTGCTGCGACCGTCTGCCCATCCATTTATCATAAGAAACGTTTGCGAAGTTCGTGGGCCGCGAGTAAAAATGTAGGCTTTAAAGACCCACAGATGCACAACACGCGATCTTTTCACATCACCCATCCCACTTCTCGTTCATGTTCTGTCTGTTTTCGGGTATAGAGTTCAGGATTTAAATGTATGACAAGCAAGCCTACCGGTGTTGGAATACATTAGTCATCGGGTAACTGGGGTTTATGATGGCTGGGCGAGGACGGATTTTATGAGCGTACGCGTCGCGTCCAGTGTGGAAACCCTACGTCATGCCCCACGTATCGAGCGCTAGGGACTGAAAATCTCGTTCGAACATCCGATTTACTACCCCGTTTTGGGGATCGACTTTGTTGGCCGATAAACAATAGGCCTCCTCGTTCAGTAGAGAAAGTCACACCCGAGTCCACCGCCCGGGCGGTCAGAGCCCCCGTGCCGTCCAACAAACTATCCACGCGCAAGAAGGCATTTAAAGTTAATTGTCGCTGTATGTTTGCAGTAATGCCTGTATCCTATAAATACTGCAAACTCCTTTGCATGTATTACCCGGTTCTGCTAATGTCTGTGATGATGAATCCGCGATGGATGTCGAAACGTCAGCCGAATAAATGTATTGTCCCAGGGATCGAGTCGTCTTCTTCTCAAAGTCAGCATTATCTGCATGCCCGTCTTTGCGCGAATTTCTGCTTTCATGCCACTGCATTTGCTCATTTCTGATTGGACCGCCCTATCCACTTCAACGACCAATCAATTTCTGCTTTTCGATCTAAAAAAAACCTTCAACAAGTTGACTCTTTGCATCTTATTTATCTGGTGGTTGAGTCCGAACAATTTTCACACATTACCTTAAACCTATAAAACTACATATAGGCAGAAGGCATGCGAATTTCGGCTGAATTCGTGTTTCAAAAAAATCGAAATTTACTTTTACAGTTGGCAGGATAGATATTTATTCATCTGCCTCTTTAAGCTTCTAAATGACACTGAAGAAAATGCTGCAACTGCTGCCTTTTGCCGTTTACGTTTGTGGACTAAGGAAAAGCATCGCATCGTCATTATTGGCTGAAATATTTCACGATCTGATCGCTTTGTTGTTGGCACTTATGCCAATCAGGCAGTACATTTGTTCACCTGGCTTGGACTAGACATAAACTTCTGTCAGTCAACGCGACTCATTTGATCACCCTCGAGATTAACTAGCCTTGCTTTCAAGTGTATGGACTCTACTGCATTGGGTTAGTTCCTTCAAACCGTGTCTGATATTTCGGAGATGATACTGAGACTGGATGGTTTAATCGATACTGGAACGTTATGAGAAGGTTTAGACAGTCAACTCAGTGGCGCTCAGTGCCACGTTACCACAACTGTCCACCAAATTAATTTCTTTTGTAATTAAAATAACACTTCTCTGAACATCTGTCCAATGTAAACTACGGCGTAGGAGCTGCATCTCTGGCTTCCAATTACATCTTTTTCCATTTTTGACATTGCAGGTCATGCCGAGGCCTCAGGACGTTATCGTCGTAGTGTTGATGCCGTCGAGACACCTTCCGTCACACCCCCCATCGACGAAGAACCACCCACCGTGACTAGAGCTTACTTTACACGCTCTTGCTTACGACAGGTCCTCATTCGATGTTCCTCTTTGTCCGCTTCCTCCTCCGCCTCCTCGGTCGTGGGATCTGAAAAGAAAGACGCGGATAGCCTTGAAAAAGCCGAAAGAATCGGCAACTGTGCTGCAATCACAGCCTATGATATTAAGATTGCTTGTGCCAGAGTGATCTGCCATCTCAACAAGATGGCGCCCTCGGCCACAGTGCGAGTCCACGTCTCAGGCTGGCTGATGGCATCGACCTTCTTCAAGCACCACCTGCCGGATGTGAAATTTATCACCCGACTGAGCCTGCTTAATTGGGGTGATCTCCCGCCTGCTGTGAGCGCCTACATAAATATCTCCGGCTCTCCGACGCTACAACCTGCCTCCGGCGATGCCGCCGCGGTTCTTCTCGACTTCCCCTCACGGACGCCGA